TCAAACCATTTTCTAATGTTCCTGCCACAGCATCGTTGGAGTTTCCAATCAACTGTCTTGGATGGCAATTGGCATTGCCTCGCTACGATTCCGCGGCGCCATCAGGCGTCAAAACATGGAGCATCTCCTCCCATTCAAAAACTGGGCTTACCCCTATGGCCCGATTGCCTCCATATTTCTTAACGGCTTCATTATTCTTGTCCAGGGCTGGAGTTCTTTCCGCCCTAGATTCAACGGAGTCGATTTTGTTAGCTTTTACATTCAATTACCAGTTATGATCGCAATGTTCGTCACTTGGAAACTGGTGAAGGGGACGAAGTTTGTGAGCCTGGAGGAGATGGACTTAGTCACTGACCGGTACGATGGCGGCGCCGAAGGGACTTTGGCAGCGGAGCTACGGGCGAAGAAGCCTTTTGAAGAGCTTACCCTGCAAGAGAAAGCTAAGCGGATTGGAACGTGGTTTTTCTTTTGAAGCGAGTATATTTAGTTGCTATTGTCGTTAAAATACAATTGATTGCATCGTCTTCTTTATTATACGCTTACAAATGCTCCTACTGTGCCGCACACTATGTTCCTCGCTCGCTTGTTCGACCCATATAGATCGATTTTGACACTCCAAGCCCTTCGCCTGCTACATTGCGCGTTACTGCCAGCAGGCCAAATCCCTTCAGGCAATCAACTCGTCCTCCTTCATCCGCAGTACAGGTTTTCCATAGTAATGGAAAAAATATCGACCTTATCACTTATGTCGTGCTGAACTTATTTTGAATCCGACAATTCTCTAGAAGATGCTTTCGGAGTGGTGTTGATGTGGATATATATAGGACACAGAGTGTGTAGTAAGTTTTCATCTATTGTATCTCCTGTGCGCAGCCACTGCTAACCCAAGAAGGGCGTTAACTGATAGCTATTTATATCTGGGAGAAACATTTTGAAACAATTCGAAACAGCACTGTCTCTCGAGTATCCCAACCTATGTCCGTCACGTCTTTTTAACAATATTCCCGGGTCAAACGTGCTTGCCGAAGACTTTGGGACGCCGCTCAGGATTTAAAAACTAAAATATATAAATAAAAATAACAAGTTGAGCCATTGAAACTTCTTACATCTGCTATGCCCCCAACTCTGGACTCAGAACAGCTTTTACCTATCTTGAGAGTTGAAGAGACACCTGATCCAAAAAGAAACCGCAAGCTCCTCACTACGCCCCTTGACTAGTGACTGGAGAATATATTAATTATCTAGACCTAAACATCATCTATCAGGAACAGCTCTGCCCAAGGTCCATAAAAGAGCCTTTGATCCATACAAAAGACAATGACGTTATGTCAGGTGGAAAGGATTCACTTAACGACATCCATTACAGATGTCTTTAAAGGTCTGTCATTTCTGATGCTGGCTGGGGTTTTTTGACCATAGTTAATCGGGGCTTGGTGGGACGTATAATGGTTTCCTGATCGCTTTTGAGGATCAAGTCTCAGACAATCCCCATGCGAATATCAATTGCTGAAATTGTTCATTCTTTTCTGTGTGGATACCAATCCCCAACAGTTCGCCACCTTTACTTACGGAACATATCAAATCATTTCCAAAACAATGCTCTATAAACCAGAAAATTTCCCCTCCATTCCGTTCAACATGGATTCCGATCTTTAAGAACGGCCGGGAATTTCAACGTCATCTGAACTATTTGGTAGTTTAGTTGGATGGCATGGTCGGCATTTGAATCAGTAGTAATTCTTCTCCGATAATTCTCTATTACGCACTTGTTCCCTGTTTCTCGGTTTAGATGATAAGGGAATGGAGATTTCTGGGCTTCCACCAGTGGATGCAATGGATGGTTTGACAGGAAAGCCGGATGGTATGTAGGTAGAAGTCTGATCTTCCATTACCGAGTCATCTCTTATCAATCAATAACCAGGACAATTGCTTTAGATTCTAGAAAATATTTAAAAGCTCCCATTCCTGTCCGTTGCCTGGAACGGCTGGTAAAAAGCAGGGAATGCAGAAGTTAAAAACCACTCGAACCTCTGCAAGCGAACTTTAAATGACAAAGGCTGTTTACATTCTGAAGAAAAATCTTGAGAACACACAACGTCATCAAATATGCTTCTGCCTGCCTTATTTTCCCTCTATGTTTATTGCGCATTGTGTAGATCTCAATATTTAAGAGGCTTCCTTCCAAGCAGCGGAAACACTTTATATTCCCGGAATGGGTAATGCGGGGGCACGACTTCGCCAGCTGCCCATAACAGTCCAGCCAAACCAAATAGGCATATCCGGCTTCTCTACGGGTGCTGATTGAGAATATATGTATTGAACTGCTGCCAAATGCTATCCTCATGAATAGAATATAACATTGTTGATTATTGGTTTGTGGATTCTCTGCCGTTCTGATGGAAAATGGTGGTGATATATCCTCCACGGGCCCTTAGCAGATATAGGGGAGTGTAAAGGAAAAACAAGGCTATTAAATATATTAAATATAAGAAGATAGCAGGTAGAAAGAAGCGAAACTTTCGTGCTGAGTTTAGTTAGCTTATTTATGTTGTGACAAACCCAATTGACACCTTGCTCCATGCTCCAACCACACTGAAAACGAGACGATGGATAGCTATGGATACGAACAGCCCTCGTTATGGGGGTTCGCAGTGCGCCTGGTTGCAGACAACGGACACAAAACTCCGACAGCGGAATTTTAACAAACTCCAGTAGTTCATGGGGGCTGAGGTCATCGGTTTGAATCATCTCAAGATCATCAACTTTCTTCCAAAGCAAATCTTTTGAGAGAGAGATAGCCAAAAGTTTGTGTCAGTTATCTTAGAACGCTGCGCCATGCAGGAAATAACAATAACCCAACAAGGCCTCACGGTTCATTGGATCTTCCTTGGGGGTCAGAAATTCCCATTCGTGAAGTCACTCTCTCTCTTACGACAACTTAGGAGACAATTGACATAAGAGTCCCCCGAGTGTCTCCGAATCAGAGAGCAGATGGAGATCTCCAAAGCCGTGTGAGGCAAAAAACGTGTCAGCTGCCAAAGGTGAAGGTTTGGGATGTGAACCCCCATTTCCAGAGTGTTGTTTGTTAGTTTGTTAGTTTGTGATGGAAGAATTGCTCCCATCGTGCAGGCAATCTAGAATTGACGGGCCATTATTGGGCAGAGTTTTTTTTTTTTGATTCAACGCATTTCGTGCATTTTGATAGGTCCAATAATACAAAATCCCCAGAGAAATCTATTCTTTTCGTTGTGCAGCTTATTGGTTGGAGATTTCAAAATTCGCCACCACTAAGTCGACAGTCCACCTACCAAAACACAAAGCAAGGTAGACAAAATAGCACGCTGAATTGAACTTATTCAGTCCATGCTGGTTTCAAGGAGGGCTGGCTGAAAAGTACATGCACACCTTCACTTTTAGAGCGAAATCAAAGTTCTTAGTCTTAATTTATCGAGGATTTCCGTTGATCCGAGAACTAAGAGGCAAGTTTTCCCTTTGAAAGTCCTTGGTCTCTCAAAATGTGGGATTAGGTGGTGGCATCAAAGTCGGCATTGAAACAAGCTTCATATTCCTCCTTCTCACACGTCTTCCGAGCATGTATGACAGAATATCGCCATGATACTCCGTTCTAGATGTAGTTTGGATACCTAAATAATCCCTTGGTCACCAAAACTATCCCGTCAAATACAGGAGCAAAAAAATTCCAGAAGGCCTACTCCGGTGAAACCGTTGACAAAAATTCCTTTTAAAATGTTGCATTCCCAGTTAGTTGCATCTATTTTTGAGTAAGGGGTTGTGGTGGAAAGCATCTTTCCTTTTTTACACACCAATGATTCGTATGTCTAAATTTGGGAGAATGCGATGAACGATTATCAAAATCCGTGCGGATCTCCGTAACTCTGGAGATACCTGTATAACTCTGTGCTTAGTTATCTGGAAGAGCTTTCATAAATAACTAGTTAGCTAGTGTTTTTCCAGGGTCCAAGTATTTTTGTTTTTGTCTCACTCACTCTACTCCGTAAAACTTCTGCTTTTGCTGTCCCGATAGTCTCATGCCCTTTATTGTGCTGTGCAGGTTATTTTGAGGACATTCGGATATTGCTCGGGATAGGACGCCTCTTATTGCGAGGTTGCACTCTCTATTAATATAACCAAAACCCCAGAAAAAGCTCCTAGCGGAATATGGGGGCTCTGAGGCTATGGGGGTGTGGGGCTCTCGATATCCCGAAAGTCTAATTAATGATGAGGAGAAAAAGTAAATTGGGGCGAGCCGCACCAAATAAAACCCCCCGCGATGAAGAATCAGAGTGAGACAAGGGGAAGGACCAAGAACCAATGCCCGATTTGTCATGATGACAACCTTTGAAGCTCAGCAGTCGCCATTGGCAAGGGGGATTTAATCTCTGATGTCAAGGTCGTCGGTCGGCGGAAGCCTGAAGGGGAAAGGAAAGCCTTTTGAAGAAACAAGATTGAACGATCCTTGGTTAGTTCGCTGCAGATGATAGGACAGCTGTCACTGGAACTTTCTCTAAGTATTAGTCAGGGATATATATATCTTCCGCAGCTACGGAGTACATATTCCGCCTCGACCAATAATTATTAACCTTTGGCTACCCCGGAATACGTATTATTTCCCTGAAATCATCATTCGCCTTGCATGGCGGACGTCCTGTTGGCTATGACATACATACACACATACATACATACATACATACATATATATATATATATATATATTTACTCCGTACGGAGGAGTAAAACTACCCTGGTATGAATTCGAAGTTAGCGTTATCAGTAGCAGCCAATCAGATAACTAGTTACAGACCATCGGGCAAAAGAAAAGAAAAGCAATAACTGAACGAACTTCGGTGGCATTAACATGTGCTCGTTTTTGGTTCCAAAAACAGCTCAGGACGTAGGGAGCACTGTTTCAGGGATTATGAAGTCCATCCTTCTTTTGAGGGAACAATGCCAAACTTTCCTGGGAATCATAGAGGTTGACCATGGCGATCTCCTCATGTCGCCGCGGTGTCAACATTTTCACCAGCGGCAGCTACCATCAGTTAGTGGCCAAGAGCTCATATAAAGATCTGAATGGGATTACAGCGCATGAACCAGGCCTTCAACTTCAGACTGGAACCGAGACGGGTGGGAAGGAAAGCAAACATCGAGGTCATTATAAACGACGAAGCTCCAACTTTTTTGCAGCAACCACATCGCAAAAATATTTCCACATCGCTGTAAGTAAAATGGATCACATCCATAGCATGCGATGATTTGAGAGAATGGGGCTTGAAGCAACTGTGCCGGCTGTGGTTTTAACTTTGGCTTTCAGCATTTGGGTCGAGGGTAGGTATAATTCTGGCATTCCCTCCTCCAAATAGCAGACATAGATATTGGGCAGCGGATTGGCTTCTGAATTTACAGGAGCCCCAACAGAAACCTGAAGAATACTTGAGGGAGCTTGGAGACGCTGCAAAACTTTGGTTTCCTTAGGTTTCTAGTTGTCGACGCCGAGCCCCAGAGGAAAATGTTCATCCCAATTTTGAAGGTGAATGTGTTCCGAACCCTCTCTGCACCCAGTTAACATCTTGAGTAGATATGGCTTTTGACGTTTATACAACACCTCGCTCACTGTTCCCTACGCCTTGGCTCAGTACTATCCATTTAGTATGAGTTCAGGGTTGCAAAATGCTGCCGGCTCAAAGTGAGTGTCTCTGGAGATCAAGTCTCTTTGTATAAACTCAGGGCTATCGGAGCGGCGCATGATCATTTGTTAGTGTGCGCCGTATGCATGTATGGTGCATATTTCCAAGCCTCTTGGATAAATAACGAAGGCTAGGATGAGACGGGTATTGACTGGGAACATGGAGTCAAGGCACGGGACATTCCCTTATAGTGTGAACAGTGGATCATGATTGAGACTCTGGAGGATTGACAGTGCATTCCATGGCACCGACTGATCGTCATTGCACGTTTCCCAAAACCAGGAGTGAACAATCATTTGACTGGTTGAGCAGTTGTAACTTAATATTATAACCACGCTCTTTTCTTTTCCGCGAATATTCATCCTATCAGCTCAAGCTGTTCAGGGTCTTATTTCCCCAAGTCAACGACCACTGAAAATAGTATCAAAATGCTGCAACGAGTCACGACAGACCCATGGCGTTGCCGACGATCAATCATGCAGGACAACAACCGGGGCGGGGAAGGGCCCATAAACACATCGACAATAATGCATCCGATAATGTGGTGGTACCGGATACCCTTTGTTCCTCCATATCTTGGTTCATTGGTATTTCTTGGGAAAGTTCCTGGATCAATGATTTGATAGCTCGAAAAGGGATGGGCTGCATGTATTTGTATTCGCTGTGTTTTCCTGTATGCAGTAGGCACAGTACAAACAAATCAGGTAGCCACCTTGACCTACTCTGCACACACTCTAATAAAAATTCATCTGTGTGATAAAGTATGCACACACACCAGTTTCCGAACATACATACCTGACACCCCTAGTTGGAAATGTGGCACCAAGTAATCCCGCTTCAGCCACTGAGATGAGAGGCGTAAAGTCGGAATATTCTGGAGAAGCACAGTTACCTATTCCAAACTCCATTGTCGCTAATGTTGCTTAAATACAGGCATGCTATCATAATGGCGACGCATTGAATCCATTTATTCGGTGGTATCGTGCCGTGGGTGCTTTGACCATTATTAGGGATGCCTTCTCCCAAGAGGTTGGCTGAGGCGAACGGATATCTTTTTGTCGATCCCTCTTATCCTGCGTTCCCTGTCCACGCGCCATTGGACACAACTGGATAGCTAACATAGAGGCATTGAATTTCGCTCTGGTGACCCAAGGTTATGTGCTTTGATGGACACAACTCCCCCACTCTATCTAAAGTCATTTTCCGGTCAGTTTCTTTTATCTCTACGACGTATGTATGGACTGACTCGCACCAATTAGACAACATGGAGAGACCGCCATCTGGGTGTTCAAGTTTGACTTCGCTAATCGGATGTAGGATTCTTAGCAGTCCGGTATTTCGTGGGGGTCATTGATTGAACCCATTTTCTCGCCTTCTTCTGACAGTGTGAAGGGCACACATGGTCCCTATACATTCTTCCATGGTTCTACCGTCAAGCGCATCCCATTGTCAGTGATTGTCGATTGCGATGACGATGATGGGGAAATTCAAACGGCAAGTCACAGCGAGTTTGGAAACGGGTTAATGTCAAGACCGATGCATCGGGGCGGCTAACTGTCCGCACTTTGTTACCACAAAGCTCAAAGAAGCTTTTCTAAAGCCTAACCCCGAAAACTAGGTCCCGCTTGTTGTAGACGAACAGCAAGTCACACAATACACGGTAATCTTTCAAAGAAATGTTTGCACCATTGATTATCATCGAAGCTTGATCTGGGGCTGTGCTGCGATGGAAACAGGACTGGGTGGCCGGAAAGGGATCAAAGACTTGAACCCGCGTTGTAAGACGACGGCGATTGTAACCTTTTTGGCTGTGCTGATCATGTAGTGGCATGTATGTACGGATTAACTACAATGATATCGCGTTAGTGATGAACTGAAAGCGCAGTTATATCTTGCATGGTTGGCGATCCCACAGGCCACGGCCACGGTACCATCGTTCTTCCATCGCGACCTTTGAAATTTGCTATTATGGAATTTATTTGTGATGCCCCTGTGGCAGGTAGAATAAGAACATTAACTGTCATAGCCACCAATGTACTCCATAACTACCTGCTCAAGCAAAAAGAAAGAAATACAAAATATAAGACGTCTGTCGTCTTCTTCCCGCGTGTCAACCCGGGAGTAGTTTCACAGGTGGTACCTCAAGATTCGCGTTGTTTGCCTGCGGGTGCTAGGTAACTACCATAGAAAAGCTACCCTCCCTCACTTCCGCTTTCGGACACAACAAAGCCCTCAGCGACTAAGTTTTCACTCCCTTCAAGAATCTTTATCTTCTTCTTCCTCACACGCTCTTCGAACGATTGAAGTTTCAGCTGCTCCGTACAAGGGGCCACATCGTCCGCAATATATCTAGACCCCATTCTACTGTTCAGGAACCATAATTCTCCTTTTCTCGATTGTATTACATTAACTTCCTCACCCAGGTTATCTGGATTGGGTTCCATCTTCCCTGCTTAGGTTGGGTGTCACTAATATACTGACATCTGCAACCTCACCCAAATCGTGGACCCATGCAAGCCACCAGGCTGTCCTTCATTCCCTGCTTGAAGTGGTGGTGGCATTTGCATTTGGTGCACTGTTCACTGTTCGCTGTCAAAGGACCAAAATCCGAGAACCGGTCTTGATCGGGGTCAGCCAGCCATAGTGAAAAATATCCGATTGACTATTCGTCTTTCCTGACTCCCCGTTCGATAACACAGCAAATAGTGGAAGCTCGGGATCGGTGGCCCGTATTGTGATTGGCTATTTTCATAGGTTAATTGTCCGCCAATGCTAGGCAAAGATGATCGACGTCAAAGCAGATCAGGAGAGCCAAGTTGAAGCAGCAAGCAGAAGCCACTGGTTCCTCCAGTTCAGCCTTTGTCACCTAGCCGAGTCCTGTATTTGGCATGGAGGAGAATTTCTGCTGATGTTTAGTGGACGATCCATCCCATCAGTGCCCAGTAGTGCCGAGCCATTACCCTGTAGCGTCAATCTGCTGTCCATTTCCTATTATTATTATTACTGTTTCCAGCTTCAAAACTAGCCTGAGCAATTTCCCCTTGGACTATGGAGTCCCATGAGCAATGAGCACTGACCATGATCTCCACTACGAATACTACCTCCTGCGGAGCATATTGGAAGCGCTGGCAGAACTAGAGCTCATCGCCGCAAATCACGCTCCCTGGAGAGTTTGCCATTCCCTGCCATTTTTCCTGTTGAGGAACGGGGGGGAGAGGCGAGGGTGCGGATATTATCCACTCTCACAATATCCACAGTCCATGGACCTCCCAATGCCCGAGTCTTCCCTTCTTCTCAGGGCCACTTATAATTTCTTAATAAAATATATATATAAAAAAAATGTTTACTAAAAGAGGCCCGCCCTTCCATTTCCCGAGATTAGCATCATGGACTCCAAACCCAACCCCAACACGAGTCGGAGGGTGTTTCCAACGCGACGACTCCGAGCACCTTTGGTCCTCATGTTCAGGCTTTACTCCCGGACCCTGTGCCAGCCTTGTTATGACCCGCATGATGGAATTTAATAATATATCATCCAGAGTTGATCGCTAAGCCTTGATTGATTCATCAATAGCTTCAGTCAATATTATATCCTCAAATCATCTTTCTGGTTGATAGAGACTCCTCCATCCACGGGTATCTTCTACATCCAAACCACTGCTGACATTTCCAACCGTATTTCCTTTCGTCCCAATCCTTTCGCGTTTCTTTTTCCTTGTTCCTATGCGTCTCTCGTTCTTTTTTTCATTCTTTTTTCTTTTTATTTTTTTTTGGCACTTCATTCACCTCCCACCACTCTTTTTTCACGTTTTCTTTACCTTTACCTTTTCTGTTCTAGTCGCCATATCTCATCACACCTGTTTGCGCCTCTTTCGATGGTAACTTTCGATCCGTCAATCATTGAACTTTAGCCCCGGAAAAGTGTCTCCAGATTTGGTTTCTCTCAGTGGCAATTTTACAAGTCGGTTGGCGTCATTTTGGTTCGTAAAGAAGAGGTACACACCGTAGTGCCCGTACCTACTAGTTTTGTATGTTTCCTTTTCATTTTGTTTTATTTGGATCTTGTCATACGATCTTGTGGACGCTTTCTTTCTCCCTCAGCAGGGACATTACGTCCAGAGGCGGTTGTGAAAGTCTTCCAAGTAATTTTTGGCTATCATCTTTTATTGAGCGCCTCAGGCTGGATTGTGAGCGCTATCTACCTTCGGGTGCCATATGTGACAGACCTAGGGAATTTAGACCGGAGCTGGTCAACTCTAGGCAGGTGGAGGTGGGATTCCCATCAGCGGAAGATTCCATGCCGTTGGCTCAAATCAATTTATGATCGGCACGGTTAGATCTCGTTGGTTCCGCCCTTTTTGCGACAGTCTGGATCTGAGCCCGTTATCAGCTTGGCCTCTTATGCCATATACAGGCTTCTTTGTCCGTCGTTTTAATGCTTCGCTCCATCTTTTACAGTTCCAGACGTTGGTTTGGGAAAATCGAACCTCATGCACTCCGTACGATCTGCCGGGCGCCCCCTCCCTTTCACGCCATTCGGACGAGCCCCCGGGCTAAGCTCCGATCCTCTAAGGTTCTCTTTAATTTTGAACCTTCCAGACAATTCCTGTGCTCTCCACCTTCGGGCTCCCTACCTTTCTCCCCCTATGTCCGGTTCTCCGTCGCCAGAGAATCGTTTCGATCCACTTTGCGGAGACAGACGCCGAAAACGCTCTATTTCTCCGATTCCAACCACCTCGCGTGGAGCTCTACAGCCGCTTTTATCTTTCGCAGAACCCCTGGCCGGAGCCCAAGGACCTGATGTTCTCCAACCAGATTCGCGACGACTTTCTGCTGGGCAACCAGGGATATCCATCTTAGGACTGCCCTCGGTTGATGACTCCCAAATCCGACCTACTCTCCCGGCTGGGGCGTTTCTACCTCCAAGAGCCACCCCACTTCCCCCGAGATCCATGCGCAGAGCAAAAGCTCACGTCGCATCGGCATGTGTGAATTGTAAGAAAAAGCATCTTGGCTGTGACTCGGCGCGCCCATGCCGAAGATGTATTTCAGCTGGTAAAGAGGTGAGCTACGTGGGAATCTCTTGCTATCAAAACTTAACCATGCATGCTTCTGTATAATTAGAAGCTCGGACTGCTATTATATAATCTTTGGTGTCGGGTATGCAGCATGTCCCGTACTAACTGCCTTAAAATAGGAATCTTGTGTAGATGTGAGACATAAAAGAAGAGGTCGACCACCATTGAAGGCCGAAGAAGGGCCTCTACGACCATACGAGACAAGCTTCAATCATCCGGGAACATCTCGCCCTCGACCTCAGGGTTCCTCTCCTATATCCCAAATTTATAGCCATCGACGGGCTTCCTCTTCACGAGAAATTCGACCTAGTACAGAATTACAACAATCAACGTCATCTAGCGAGATTGGTGGAGAATATGGAAGACCAAGACTTAGTCCTGCCATAGGCAACACTCACATGTGGGCTTCTCCATCGCGATCACAGGCTATGACGCTGTCTCCGCCCCTTCAGGGCCACTTTCCAAGGCAACCTGCGCTTTCCGGTGGTTCTCCTCAGCCAGCACCACCCCATAGCTCCCCTTTATTTTCTCCTGGAGCAAGACCATCATCTGCATTTGCTCCTGAATATCGCGATACGCCTACATCTGTGCACCCTTTTTATGGTAAGAGACTGCCAACAAATCAATCTCCTAGCCAGTACCAACAACACCAGGCACCTCCCCCTCGGTCTTCATATTTCGCAAGACCAGGTTCTCCACATGGGCCGCTATCGAGTCCGCCCTTATCGTTATCTGGTGCGGTGCGTAACTACCCATTTTCTGGTCCGGGCCAGCCTCAAATCACATTACCACCTCTTAAACCTTCAAACACAGGCCCAGAATTGGAGTTTTCCCAAAGCATCCAACACCCCCCTAGCGCACCGGCGCCAACGCCACTCCCTCCATCCCTGCCGTCATTCCAATCGGGCCGGGAGCCTCCTAACCGCGTTGACCGCACTCAAGAGTTGGAGGACTCCCGCCCTCACCCGACGCAACCCCCTTTTCAACCTGCATATTTTTCCACCGGATCTGCTGGACGCAGGTTATTCGATTCATATCGTCCTATGCCCCTACCACCGCAGCCTCCGCCACAGCAAACTCTGTCACAGCGACAATCCAGGTTTTCAACTTCAGTTTCAATTTCCAATAGTCTTCATCTCGCTCAACATGAGAAAAGCTTCACAACAAAGGAGAAAGAAGGAGAATCTGAATCTCGACCTGCAAAACGACAGAAGATGGCTCTAGGGGACATGGTCAACGACTAGCTGAGATTCCTTAATTTGACTGACACACGAGATCCATGAATGTTCGTTTCAACTAAGAACTGAATATAATGATATGAATGGATGAGATAAAGCAATGAATTCATCCTGGAGGAGCAGAATATAAATTCTAGAGCTTATGGGATCGGTCAAGATACGCAGAATTTCCTTGATTATTTCTCTTTTGTCCGGTTTGTTTGTGTTGTTTGATAGGAAGGGGGGGGAAGGAAGATTA